AGATATGTGTGTGTGTGTGTGTGTATACTACCTTAGCACTACCTCTTACACACACTTAAATCACAACCATCCACTTGTCGCCATCATAGCTTCCGCACAAAATACACATCCAACCAAACACTTGGCACCATCCAAGCCCTACATATGTCACCAATCCCCTTTAAACACATGGTCCAATGAAAATGAGACACTTGTCCCAACTTTTCCCTAATTGCATAAAGGCCCTTCCATGAAATATCTTCAATAGATAATCACACTGTTGCCCTAAAATAAAATATCTTCAAAATATATTCACACAAAACCCCCCAAAATTGAAAATGTTCCCACAACATAATCGCACAAATACCCCCACAAAGTATAAATTAAAATGCATACAAGTGCTATGCAATTCTATAATGTCATGAAGGTAGAATATATAATGATGAAATAAATGAAGTGTCGGCAGCCATTCCCGAACACTTGTCCTTGGCTCGGGTCCACACAACCCAAAGACAAAAAATAAACAAAACTAATAATAATAATAAAAAATAAAATAAAATAACTCGAAAAAAGAAGAAGATGACACAGTCATCATGCCAGCACCTTTCCATTCACCTAGAAAGGACCAGTTTTTTACATACCAAACAATTTCTATAATATTTTAAAAAATAAATATGTATATAATTAGAGTTAAATTTTTGATTCATTCCTCCTTGAACAATTAAGTTTAAATGTGTTCATATGTATATACATATTTTTGTGTGGTTCATATATCAATAAGTGAAATGTTTATACATTTATCTATACTAGACTTTTGGTAGTCTCAATGAATCTATTTGATTCATCTAATTTCAAAATGAACCTATCTAAGTTCATTCATCGAATTTATGAAATGCATTTTTATTAGGGTTAATTTTACTGATACCCCTCAGGTTTGGCCATTTTTCATCATCAAATCTCTTTCGAAAATAACTATCACTAACATTACAAATTTTTACTCCGTTTTTCACTCACACCCAACCGTTAGTTGAACAGTTCTGACACGATGTTAAATGACTTAAATACCCTTTGATTTTGTCAAAACAACTCTTTAGCCTAAAGAATTAGATTAAAAGACTAAAATATCCCTTAAATTTTTTAAATTTACAAATTATATATATATATACAAACACATACATATATATACACACATGCACAACACTGCCACCAACACCGGTCAGGATCTCGACACAGGAGACAGCGGCACAGGCACAAGAGACGACAGCGCGGCTGGCGAGCCATCATAGTGACGAGCTCCTAGATGGCGATGGCAATAATGTCGGTGCAGGAGACTACAACAAGGTAGACGAGCTCGAGGGCAGTTTTGGCGCAGACGACTACATCAAAGGTGTCGCCGGTGAGGGAGAGGTTAATATCATACACCACCACCCACCTCACTACCTCTGCTGTCGCCACGGTCATGCCACCACCATTACCTTTTTCTCTCTAACACCCAAATACCCATCAATATCAATCAATCAATTAACACACAAAAAGGAAGAAAAAAGAAAGTGAATTAATGCAAGGTTTGAATTAGCGTGGGGTTACAGTGATGGCTATGGTTGTAATTGTGAAATCGAGGTCCGTGGGGTTACTGTGATGGCCATGGTCATAGTACTCGATTATGGTAGTTGAGGCATCAAAGGGTGATGAAGCCACTAGATAGAGTTGCAATTGCAAACCAAGAAATTGGGATTGTGAACGGAAAACGAGAACCTAGGAAAACCAATGGGTTGCGGTGGTGGCAATTTTTATGCTGGCGGAGGCAGTGGATGGCGTTTCTGATGGTAGCAGTGAAGAAGACGCTGGAGGTGTTTATTCTGTATAGAGAGAAATAAAAGAGAAAATGAGGGAGAGAGATGTATATATATACGGTATATGATAAGTGCTTAAATGTTGCACATTTCAGTACCCAAGTTAGGGTAATTTAGTCCTTGCATCTATCTTACTTTCCCGTTTTAGTCCTAATTTATGTTTATGTCTATTTCAGGACAATAAGGTTCAAACGGGCTTAAATCGGTCCATTACTGCCTTTTTAGAGATAAGCAGAAAGTTCCAGAACATTCCAGAAGAAATAAAAAAAAATGCCAAGAATGCATTATGTCAGGACGCAAGTCAACAATGCACTGCGTCTGGACACCAACATCTGTGTCCAAACGCAAGTTTGACGACACATTGCGTTCGGATGCCAAAATCTGTGTCTGGACTCCATGCTCGTTGGCAGCAATCACTTACCATTTTTTTGGCTACGGAATTAACCTGTTTTGGGCTCATTATCTGACCTATTGGCCTTCAGGAGGGCTGGTATTAAAGGAAAATAAAACCCATTAGTTAGGTTAGTTTTTATATTATTAAAATTTTAAATTTTAAGAGGAGAGATATCGTTCTCTCTAGAGATTAGGGTTAGAGGAGGAGGCAAGAACAAGCTAGGGTTTTAAGAATAAGCAAAGAGAAGAAGAAGAAGAAGAAGGGGATGATCAAGCAAAGAACGGGGATTGAGCTTATTGACACTTTGAATCCATCAACCATGAGTGGCTAAATCTTTAACTTAGGGTTAGATAAACCCTAAGCATGTAACCTAATCTATATCGTTTCACTTTTTGGGGATTAATTTGTGTAATAGATGTTGTAACCTTGTGATATTATGGTTTAATTCTTCCATTTGATTCTCTATGTTAATCTCATGTTGTCTTATGTGTGATTAATTGATAATCAATCTCTACACTTGATTTCTTTGTTGATTGGATCTTGTGATGGCTATGCATGGTGTTAATTAGTTGTAATTGTGGTTTAATTTGATGGATAATGCTTTTACTTGATGGATTGCACTACACAATTAGTTTAATTTCTTATTTAATTAGTTTAATTTCTTGCTTAATTAGTTTAATTCATGCTTCATTAGTTTAATTGCACTTTAATTCCTAGTTAAGTAGGCAATCCATGCTTATGTTTGATTTCCATGCTTATTGTCACAAATTACATTATCCTCTTGATTAATGTGTGTTAAAATCGTTACTTGAATTGACGGATCATACTTTGAATTGGTGAATTGCACTACACTTAATTTAATTGTCATACTTAAAATTGATGTCCATACTCTTCATTGCAATTGTTGGCCATATTTGGATTACACATTATTATTTCCCCAATTAGTTGAAAGTTAGTGGGTTAAGAAATGTGCTTAGTGGTGATTCCTATACCCTAAGTCTCCTTCCCAATCTCTTAAACTCTACTCTTTTAAGCATTAATTCCAGTGCATTGTTTAATTTCAAATTAGTTCTAATCACCAAACAAACCTCTCTTTAACACTCACATAAGCACTAAGGTAGAATTCAATTCCAAAAACCTATAATTGTTTGATCTCTTGGGACGATCCCTTCTCACTTCATACTCTATAGTATAAGTGTTAAGTGGCTTTTTACAAATTTAAAAGGTGTTGCACACTTGTCATTCTCTTTTCTAAAATTCAAAAGTTGTACACATTTTGTGCAACACACAAAGAAGTAACAATATATATATACACTGTGATCCTTTCGCCGTCCTTCAATGGTGATCGGTATACTTCGTCCCATGCTTTCACGCGCCACTCCCATGAACCTCTTTGCTGTCGGTGACCATTTTTTGGTAAGCCCTTCTCTCGTGGCGGGGTGTGTGGGTTGTTGTGGTAAGGAGGTGCAATAATAAAGGGTATATTGGTCATTTATGTAATCAGATATTTGGGAATAAATTATATTAAAAAAATTAAGGGTAATTTGTCTTTTTACATATTTTTAACGGAAACTGTAATGGAAAAGTATGGATGGACCTAGTGATAGTTATTTTAACTTAAGGAGGTGTGAGTGAAATTAACCATTTTTATTAATATGATACATGAATGTATATATCCAAATTCATTGTGTTGGAACATGAATATTTGAGTTCATGTATTAAAGGTCTAAACACATTTATGAGGTTCATCTTGAGAAGTCCATATAAGGACCACACTTTCCTCATTGGAACATGGATGGATTAAGTTCAACCTCATTTTCTACTCAAGTTTTCTCTTGTCACAATTTATAAGTTTTCTCTTCTAATTTTCATTTTTGGGCATTCTGAAAAAAGATTAAGTGTTGCACCCAATAGTGTATCGTGCAAATATGCTGTGGTTGGATCGAGTCCAGACTTGGTTGAATTTCGGAGATAGAGCTGTCATGATCCCTTGCACCTTATGGGAGGCTTCTACTATCTTAAAGAAGCGTTTATGTGCCTCTAATCTATTGTCCGGGATTTGCTGAAAATTATATTTCTCCCATATATGTATTTGAAAGCTATTTACGTGATTTATCATAATCATTTTTCCAACAAGGAGAAGGGGAAAAATGAGGAAGTAGGGGAAGAAGACAATACAAAATGGTTTTCGGGTGGAAGTAGGATTCCGATTCTTGCGACGGTGAGGAAGCTTGGTGGTCTGAACATGGTTGTGGCTTGAGGTTCAGTGTCTACGTTTCATCTCAACTTCTTTCTTTCTTAATTATAGACGGTTGGTTCAAGTGGTAGGGTTACTTGCCCCGGGTGCCTCATGAAGCATCAGATTTGAGGTTATTCCCACTAAGTGCAAACAATTTTCTTGGGGCCACGCCTCCGCGGTCTATACTTTGCGACTTACCTGGCTTGTGGTGGGGAGGCACCCTTCACGGGTTCTTAGGGATTAGTTGGGGCAAAGCTCCAGATACCCCAAGTTAATCTATTTATAAAATAAAAAAAAATAAAAACCAACTAAAACTGTAGACAATGTTGAAGCATTGAAATATTGTCGAGTGCATATTCAAGTTTTAATTACCCGTTTTAGTGAAATGTGATTTTGAGCATCCCGTGTTAGACTAAAAATAAAAAATAAAAATTGACACATTAATTTCTGATTTGTCATTTATGAAAAAAAATTAAAAGAAAAAAGAAAAAGGCAAAAAAAAAAAAAAAAAAAAAAAAAAAAAAAAAAAAAAACATTCATCATAAAGCCATAGTGCTATGCTTAATCTATAGCCAAAAAGAGGTGATCACTATCCAAAGATCAGTGATTGCTATTATTTGACACAAATGAAAACTAATGCAGAGCCTGATTGATATTCTTTGACAACATTCAGGAACATGAATTGTCTGAAGAACTCTTGGATTTTCGACCTATATTTTCTCCACGAGAACAAGTTCGATCTGCATTAATAGCTGGCACAGAGGATCGATCAGTATGGGGGCGGTGGATATATTGCTGTAGATGGAGGTTGTGTGTACATTGCAGGAAATGGAGGCGGTTGGTAGCTCCCAGAATTTGCAGCTGAATATAGACATCATAGATAACCATAAGTTCAAAATGGAACATCAAGAATTTCATTTATTTTTGTTCTTAGTTTATTTTATTTTTTTTGGTAAGATTGAAAAAAAATCTACACAAAGTGAGGAGGTGGGAATTGGTTCTAAATAACCTGAGCAAGTGCCTATGAAGCCAATCTAGTACATTTATCACCAACCACCCTCTAACCTTCCCATTTCAATTTCAACAAATGAAATTTTAATAGCAATGAAAAACTTCATAGGCTTGAATTTACTTGCAGAAACAAACAGAAACTCAAAAAATGTCTACAGAAAATAGTACGAATTTCGCGAACAAAATGAATTTACATACCTGGTGGATAACTTGTGGCTTGAGGCGGGGACGGATATGGTTGTGAAGGGTAGCCTGCAGGAGGAGATGGGTGCGGGGGATATGCAGAACTAGGAGATGGTGCTGCAGAACTTGGAGGGTATGTTGTGTAAGGGGATTGTGATGCTGAATTAGGAGGGTATGTTGCATAAGGTGCAGGTGTTGCTGAATTTGGAGGGTACATTGCATAAGGTGGAGGGTATGTTGCTGAATTCGGAGGGTATGTAGTGCATGGAGATGGAGATGGGGCTGCTGAATTCGGAGGGCATGTCATGTAAGGAGCTGGAAATGGGGTACCTGGATTCGGAGGGCACATCGTGTAAGGAGACGGGGCAGGGTAAGTAGTGGTGCCGGAGTAAGGAGGTGCGGGGGGTGGTTGTGCGCCGCTGTAGGGCAGGAGAGTGGAAAGGGTTGCATTTGGAGATGCATATGCCATTGCTGGTGGAGCATATCTTGAGGTTGTATCCATAGGCTGGCCTTGATTTGCAGGCATGGATAGCGGAGCACCTACCATGTTTGAAACTTTGTTTGATAACATGAAATTTCTATATACGGGGTATTAGTACATACTTTGCAGAGTTGACTTGATATCTTAGTTGTCCCTTCCCTCCACTAATTTCTATCCACTTGATAGGGGAGGGAAGATATGAAATGATTCCATATTGAAAGTTTATGAGCTGACTTTTTCAAAATTTAATAAATTTAAAAAGTAATTAATTGAAAAGCTTGTTAGCTTGCATGTGCAATGCTGTTGGGTGAGGATAATAGGGAGTAATTTTCACATTGTGTCCATCAATTACAAAGAGATATGTAAGTAAATATGTTAATTTTATTTATATTTTATTTTATCAGAATCATATAATAATTTTTTTTTACGTAAGATATTGTTACAAGTAGAGATTTGTCCCATATCGGATTCGGGTGAAAAGTGAAATGAGTATAAATAAGTATATATGCAGTATTATTCAATAATTTAAGTTTTGGGATAAATGGGCTAGCGCTCACCCGTTACAATTGGTATCAGAATCATATCCCGTGTTTGATTTAGTGCCACATCAAGCGTCTGACCCTGAAGGCATCCGGTAGGATAACCCGACCGTAACGAGAACGTTGTGAGTTCGAGAGAGGGAGAATATTACAATAGGAGAGTTGTCTCACATTAGATCCGAATAAAAAGTGAACTAAGTATAAATAAATGGATATAAAGTACTATCTAATAACTTAAACTTGTATATACTGCCCACTATGGTATCTTGCCTGTTCAATTTCTTCAATCTTGTTTTGTATATCATCTAAATAAATGGTCCAACAAGGCTGCGTTAGTTATTTTAGAATTGCAACTTGCAGCAGCAGCACATATGCTAAAAGTCAAATTAAAGAGAGTAAAATGATGTATTGTCAACGGTCTCCCAAGTTGCTTTTAGTTCAATGTTTTTCAATTTGACTTGTTAAAGCTCGAGACAAAGAAATACGTATATATATATATATCCAACTGGCAAAGACCAGACGCCAGTACATTATATATATATAGATATAGAATGTACTGTATACATTATATTGAAGGTCAGTAGTCTATTGACAATACATACTGCTCATCAGTCATAAGTATTCCCTGGACGTGGTTCAATGTTATATTGAGCATCTTTAGTTATTAATTAAGAAAAAATATATATTCAAAATCGGGTGAATCCAAATTTTTATTTATTTTTATTTAGAATAGATTGAAAATCAATTTATGTGACCTCTCACATTAATTGAATTAAATATCTACCTCCCTTGCTCTCGTCAATTAAATTCGATAATTACGAATTCATCCCTGAAATAGTGTTACTTTATTTAATATTGTCTTTCCTAATTTTATAATTAAATGACACGATCTATAGAGGAAAAGAGATATACATATTTAAAATTGAATTGCACTCATCAAATAAGGCATTACTTGGGGCCTACGCAATTTGTCCCAGTCTCGAATCTTAGGTCCAATATGACCCTGCTCGTCTGCTCCAAGAGCCAGCGGACAAGAAAATTTGTGACAAAGACGATAAAATGCTGTATTGCCACCGAACTGTGCTGAAGAATGTATGCTTCACTCGTTCAGTACTCCAAACACATAGAGGCTTCAAGAAAGCTGCATACTTTACGCAACAATATTGTTTTTCTTCTTCCCCTCAAGCAAATCTAGTTGACAATGACAAAGGATTTTCTTCGCCTGTCCCTCCTCCTCGATCACTGTTTTCTCCGTTGATGTATTTACCTCCTAGGGTTGATGAATCAGATAATAATGATTATTTTCACTGTTCAGTGCTGCAGAGGAAACAAAAATCAGTTTTAAAAAGAAACAGTACACACCGGGCAGAAGGAGATTCTTACGCCCGATGATGATGCCATCGGTGTTGGCTCCTCTCATGGCTGGCTTGCATTTGTCAACCCTCGTAGTTGCTGCCCCTTACCAATACAATCCACTAATCATACACTCGTCACATCTCCCCTTTGTCCCTCTCCCGCCCTTCGAAACCTTTTGTCACGTTCGATGTCTCCGTGCCCACAAATCAGATCACCTCTCCCCCTCCCCTTCCCTTGTCAGAGAACTCATGTTCATGGGTGAACCTCAACGTTCAGATTATACTGAAAGATTCGCGGATATTCCGAGTAAGCGTTTCGTGGAAAAGATTACTATGTCATCAGCCCCATCTCTGCCACGTTCCTCGTCTCCCCAAAAGTGCGATGAGGACTGCACCGTCGTGATTATTGATCAAGGAGAGAGATATTTCTGTCAACTCGGGGACGAGAAGTGGCAAATCTTGGACAATGTGGGTTCCTACACTGAAATCATGTATTTCAGCAAGTATAAGGTTCGGTTCAAGCCGTAGGCGACTTAATTCGGCAGTGGCCTAAGATTTTCAAATTAAGATTTATATCCTAAAATATTTTATTATTATTATTATTATTATTTTTTTTTCTCTCTCTCTCCACTTGTTTTGATTTTATATTAACCCTCAAATATTTATATCCTAAAATAACTTATTTTTTCTCTTTTTCCGTCTCCTCATTAATTCCGATTTTATATTAGGTCTAAAATATTTATATCTTAAAATAACTTCTTCTTTTTTCTCTTTTCTCTCTCCTCCCTCGTTCAGTTGAATTATAATTGATACATAAATTTAAAGACAATGCTTAACTACTCACCGGTGAGTAGCCACACCTTACTCATCCCTATGTGTTCTAATAAAAAAATAACACATCAGCTTCAATAACAAAATTAACAAAATACTAAAAAACAGAAAAGAAAGTCGGATCCACCCATTTTAATTGGATAATCATCCTTTCTCTTTTTTCTCGAGTCAACATTTTTGGTGATTTCATACCGTCTAAAAATAATTATTTAAAAATAAATAAATAAAATATATTTCTATCAAATAGATAATCAAGTTACCTTTGTTCATATATATATATATATATATATATATATACTAAAAAGAGAGATGAAAAATATGGTACATCCTTCCCTTTAAACTGAGCAAAGACAAAGTTACTTCTCATCATTCTTAATAAAAAAAAATCAGTAAAATAATACAAAAGCCCTGTATATTTATTCAATAATTGATCTAAGAAAACAGAGGAGGACGTAGGTTATTTTGTTATTAAAGCTGATGTGTTATTTTGTTATTGGAACACATACGGGTGAGTAGGGTGAACTACTCACCGGTAAATAGCCACACCCTACTCACCCCGATGTGTTCCAATTAAAAAATAACACATCAGCTTTAATAACAAAATCAACAAAATACTAAAAAGAAGAAAAGAAAATCAGATCGACCCTTTTTAATTGGGTAATAATAACCCTTTCTCTTTTTTCTCAAGTCAACATTTTTGGTGATTTCATACCGTCTAAAAATAATTAATTAAAAATAAATAAATAAAATATATTTCTATCAAATCGATAATCAAGTTACCTTTGTTCTTATATATATATATGCTAAAAAGAGAGATGAAAAATATGGTACATCCTTCCCTCTAAACTGAGCAAAGACAAAGCTACATCTCATCATTCCTAATAGGGCAAATTGCAAAAAAAAAAAAAAAAAAAAAACCCCACTAACTATCACTCAGTTGCAAGAAACCCCCTTTATGAATATTTTTAGCAAAAAACCCCCCTCAAGTATTATGAGGGGTCATTTTAACTGACTTTCATTTGAGTGATTGTTTGAGTAAATTTTTTGAACTAAATTACCCTGAATATCAAAATATTATTACTAAACTATCCACCACTGACTTTTTGCTTTTTTCTTTCCTGATAGACTGCCCTCTCTTTTTCTTGCTTGGACTATGAGCCACTTACACCACCAGGTCGAACATCCACCTTAGTGTCATTTATCTTCCTCTTGCAAAACCCAATTCTCTAACAAACTCTATGGCTCCTCCAATAATGGAAGCTTGATCACCGTCATTAATTGCCACAAAACTAAATTAATCTTAACTAAATTTCATTTTTTTGGCTTCAAACAATATATATTTATATATATTCCATGTGTAGATTTTCTGATATAATATATATATAGATGTACATCTGATGAAATTTATGTTGGGATAATTATATATCAATTGGCACAAAAACCAATCTAGATAAATTTCACATTTGCTTCCAATATGACAGTATATGTGCAGTGTGAATTTTGTACAATTTTGGGGCTTTTTCATTTATCTAAGTCCTTTAAATAGTACCAAACTTTCAAAAAAATTGATTATAAATTGTCTGAATTTTGAGAAGGTTTTCTTGACGAAAAGAGAGAGTGAAGAGAAAGAGAAAAATAAATAATTTTTTTAAAGAATATTCTATTAAGGGGTAATTTGGTCCAAAAAAATTCCTCACACAATCACTTAAACGGAAGTCAGTTAAAATGACCCCTCATGATACTTGAGGGGGTTTTTTGCTAAAAAAATTCGTAAGAGGCGTTTCTTGCAACTGAGTGATAATCGAGAGGAGTTTTTTTGCTATTCGCCCTTTTTAATAAAAAAAATCAACAAAATAAAAAAAAAAGCCCTGTATATTTATTCAATGGTTGATTTGAGAAAACAGAGGAGGGCGTGTGTTATTTTGTTATTAAAGCTGATATGTTATTTTGTTATTGAAACACATAAGAGGTGAGTAGGGTGAAACTACTCACTGATGAGTAGCTAAGCATTATTTGTTATCTTTTAAGTGAAAAATACCACTATCGTACCTCGATAGTCGCCTCCACCTTGGTAATTGACACTGAAGTATATGGAATTCTCCCTCAGCTCTGGATAGTCACTAGTTGAGGTAGAAAATAAGTGATTATGACCCACAAATAATGCCCAATCACCAATGCAATCCATAGACTCCCACTTATTTTGATCAAAATTCAACCTATAAACGTCAAATGTCAACGACCCATAAAACCCTTTAACGTAATTTGCCATAAATGAAACCTTTTATTCCTTAGTAAAATTAGTGTCTTCATGAGGTTCATCCTCAACACAAAACCT